TTCCCGTTGCTTCTCTCTCCTCTCAGGGCTGAGCACCTGGTCAGGTGGCGAGTTAGTGTTGGCTGTGGAGGTGGGTGGGTGGCCTTGCCCATGCTGTGTTTTGGGGGGGGGGCAGGGAGGAGAAGGGGGGGAAAGCCCTCCCCTGGCAGCCGTGAGTGATTTCATTGGGTGTCCAGTGAGACCCCTCTCTGAAATTGTGGGGAGCTGGCGCACGCATCCCAGGTCAGGGGCCTGCCCCACTCCCGTCGGACAGCTGGGTTTGTGCTGTGCTCACAGATGGAGGCTGGAGGCAGGAGGCCCGCTGCCTGGGTGCCCATCTGCGCTGAGAGCCAGCGCGTCCCTGCGCCGTCATGTCTAGCTTCCTTGCACCTTTGTCACCGCCATCGTGTCTGAGGTGACACATTCTTACGGCATCGACGACACCTAGAGTGGCTGGGCTGTAGACCTGTCACCCTGGTGCAGACCACCTTCCTGTGGTAGCGCAGTGGGCCGCATGGGCTCCGTGCTAACCACTCCTGATGTCTGGGCCCCGTCCCTCCGGGAGGGTGGCTTCTGTGGCTTCCTGCACGCCTATCTTCTGACCACTGTGGGCACCAGCCTGACCTGGGCACCCTCTCATGTCATGGTACTGAGTCTGGCCAGGAGTAGGGCAGGCGGGCACCCCGAGGCCAGCTGCCTGCCCGAGCACTGCTCGGGGGGGGGTGTGTGTACAGTAGTGGGTTTCCTGCCTGCCTCAGGAGCAGGGAAGGTGTGCACAGCTGGGACACAGGTCCACAGGTGACTGTCCCCTCCCGCTGCCCCCGCAGTCTATGAGAATGAGGACCAGCTGCTGTGGGACCCCCGTGTCCTGCCCGAGAGGGAGGTGGAGGAATTCCTGTACCGCGCTGTGACCAGGACATGGGACGAGGCAGCCGGGCCACAGCTCCCCGATGGGGAGACAGTGAAGGACAGTGAGCAGGTGAGCGCTGTGCAGAGCGGGCGGGGTGGGGTGGGGTGCCACGAGCTCCACCCACTGGAGGCCACGTGAACCCCCATGTCCTTGCTAGGGAGGGAGGCTGGGTGTCACTGCTGCTGCTAGGCAGTGACGACCACTGACCCCCAGGCACTGTATGAACTGGTGCGGTGCCGCTTCAACGTGGAGGAGGCTCTGCGAAGGCTGCGCTTCAACGTGAAGGTGATCCGAGGTAGAGAGCCCCG